GAAGGCGGAGACTATCAAGAGGGCAACACCTTTCCCGTGTCTGTAAGTAAGAATATCAACACTGTGAATCCCCACATAGCATCAAAAAGAAAATTTACGGAAGCCAATATTTCAATACTCACCACAGGGAGCCAAACCTACGCGAGCAGGTGCCTAAAACGCTTTTAGAATATCATACTCAAGCAATTTCCTACCCTCGGTAATGATCTCAATTCTGCGTCCACCGCGGTTACGTTATTATCATAAATGAGAGGAAATGCAACCTCCGTATCGGCGTTACTGTTAAACATCGCAGACATTTGAGCAAGCGCTGCGAAAAATGGCACCGCGAGCAGCTGGAGACGGACGAGGAGTTCTGCTATCGCCGTCTGCTCTTGTCGTCTGCTTCTGCACGGACGCTGAACTGAGTCCGGATCCCGGTGCAAGATTTTGAGGAACTGGGTCTGGACTCGTTCACAACTGGGATGAATCGAACGCGCCAGTGCAGCGGTCGTGCAACTTCCGGTTGAATCGAATGTACCGGTTCCTGCACTGCCGAACTAGTTCAGCCAGTTCAGGCGAATCGAACAGACCTAAATTGACTGATCCGATTTGGGCGAGGAGTGGGTGGACGTAGTTTAATATCGCTAGCACATCATCACACCTCAGCTTACAAGCCTTCTGTCCGCTGAGAGCTCAGCTCGTAGCTTTCTTCTGTGAGATAATTTCTGCATAAGCAGGATCTCGATCTGGACGGGAACCCAGTCCCTACGCACGACGACGATCCACTTTGCTCGTCATTGCACGCCTCGCGGAAAAGTGTGGAACGTCATGTCTTGGCTCGCATGTGCTGCCCGGTGGTTGTGGCACCCAACCGCGCAACGAAAATCTCGCCCAACCACGAAACAAGTCGAGCACGACAACAAAAACGAAGCACGCTGAGGCGTTCACTCGCGGGCAAACAACGGGACAAAAATGCTCGCTTTGCGTTTTGTGACGTCAGAGCTTCAATGTTGCCAACGAAAGCAGCGTTTACGCTAGAATGCGATTGGAGCAGTATAAATTCAATTACTCACGCAGAAAGGCATAGAAAATTCGGATATTGCTCGTACGATGCTTCTCGAGGCAATTACAATGATATTCAATTGTTTTCTCGAATACAAAATTTGACCGGACAACCCCTTTAAGTCAACGGTATACTGGGGATCGCGACTGCTGCGCCGTGACTCGGTTCTGAAACGAAGCTTGGGAGTTTCGGTACTCTGGAAACATCCAGTGACTCTAGCCATCACTAGTGAACAAAGCAAATATGGTAAGGTGAATCCACTGAGTGCCGCCTGGCTTGCGTCAGCATCGCCGTCAGCGCGTCTTGCAGCGTCTTACAACGAGTGCGACGCTAGCAGGCGGCCACGCCAAGACGGACGCAAATGCCGCCTTGGGGCGTTACACATCGAGTTTCAGTGTACTTGCCACTTGTGGCGGATCGAAGATCAACTGTCGATGACGCCATGTGCAGCCAGGCTAAGAAAAGTTCCTATGTCGAGCCACTGAGCTGTGGACGCTTGCGCAGCGTCTGGTATACTGCACAGCAGAGCAACAGCGCATGTTCAGAAGGCGTTCCACAGCCCAGCAGACAAGGATGGCAGCGCGCAGAAGGCTGCTGCTGTTGACGCTCCGTCGTTTTCTGCTCAAATGCATCCCATCATGCACCACCTTGGGCAGACTTGTATACCTCAGGGAGTGCATTCAGCGCTTTATATGATGTGTCATTTTTGTATGAAGTCCAAGATCATGGCCTCCGAGATTCTATGGATGTTCGATGACTAGTGTAGTACTATAGATGGATGGATGGATGGATGGATGATATTGGCTATGCCCTTTGTAACGGGCGGTATCTTGCGCCATCTAGCATGAGAAAATGCTTTCCTCCCCCTCTTAAATACCCAATTTTTTCCCTCAACATCCTTGCAACTATCACCGGGCCGGGGGAATGAACCACCAGGATGACCTTCAAAAGATCAAGCAAATACAAAAAAAAAAAAAAAAAAAAAAATTAAAAAAACACGCTTCCGCCTTTTTGCCCCGGCGAGGGAGTCCCCATTTTTCCTCTGGTCAATTTTGTTTGGGTTCTTTCCAAAACCCAGACCTACTGAGAGACAGGGTTGAGACTTTGGGCCGAAGCCACGCGGAAGGGAGTACCAAGTTTCCTGTCCTTCCTGCCTCCAGTTGGGCTATTTGCTTTTACCAATTCCAGTTTTCCCTAGTCTCCTGCACCAATGCCCTAACCTCCTTTTCGTTACTTCAGCCCTTTTACAATCCACCCTTCCATCTTCTCCGCCGAAACCCAGAGCCCCTTCTACGTCTGTTCTCCCCTCAGGGAGGGCTTAAAAGGACGGTAAACCAAAATGTAAATTAAAAAAAAAAAAGCAATGCAGGAGATGTAGACGGGACGCTACAATCCTTACAACACTACTTGTAAGGCGATACCTCGAATGGAAGGCCGTATTTTTGGAAAAAAAGAGGTAGAGATTGAACCAGGCCGACGAGGCGCGTGACGTCAAGATATCTCGTTTCCTCCTCTCTTCGCTTCGCTCCCTCAAGGCGGCGAGACGGAGAAGACGCGAGGCCGTTCCCTCTCCTTCTCGGAGAAACATCACGTAAACATTTTTGTCAAATGCGCCTCCTTTTTATTAAAAATACGGTCGTCCGTTCGAGATACCGCCGCATGAGTGATGTTTCGGTGTTTGTAGCACCCCGTTGCACGCTTTTGCCGCGTGTTTTGTGAAATCCAGATTTCGGTTCAGCATCCCTTTAAGCCTCTTGCACCTCAAAACCAGGTGTTTCATTCCATAGTGTCGCTCTTTATTCCACATATGCAACAAACTATCTATATCAGTGGCGTCACAAGGGGGGGGGGGGGGGGGGAGGGGGGGCGCGAACCGCCCCGGGTGCAGGGCTCAGGGGGGTGTCGCGGCGGGCCACGAGAGATGGGGGGGACAGGGGGGAGGGGGGGGGGGGGGGGTCGCGGCGGGTTATCGCCCCGGGTGCCGCTGACCCTCGTGACGCCACTGGTCTATATCTTCGAATTTTGCCCTATAAGTCTTCGTTCTTAATACCCCCAGTTCTGGCCTCAAACAGTAAACAGCTGCCCCGAGTATTATCAAACAGTTTCTTCCCTTATTTTGTTTTTGTAACCTATAGATAGTTAAAGCTGATTTCTTTCTGCATCCTTAACTGTTTTGTACTGACTTCGTTTCATTGCCCAATTAGTCTTATAGGAGCTTATATACCTTAGCTGCCCACTTCATCGGCTCCACATCAGTTAGCCTTTAGTACTGGGATTACACAGGGTGTCCAATGGACTTTAACGCTGTAAAAATTGGCAGCTGCGTATTAAAAGCTCATAATTGAACAAATGTGTATTTAAGCGGCGCATCTTGCCTAGTAAAATTTCAAGGTGTAGCTCCCTTTGCGTGAAAAATTAGGCCAGCAAACCTGCAACGGACGCGTTCCCAGATGACCGAGTTAACAACGGTTGTAGCTTGTAACTCGCGATAAGCACAGCGAGCAGGTGCCACACTCTTTTATGAGATAGCTGGCAAGCCTGCCCTTTCAAGAAACAATGAGTGGTGTTCTAAAAGTGCATATTCCGGTGTCGGCCGTTCCACCATACTGCAGTGTCCTTGGATACTTAGGAATGATCCTCACATGAAAGCCTCGAATACGCCTAGGTCTCAGCAAAACGTCAGCTGTGACCAGGAGGCACCCTAGGGAAATCCTATTTATGCTTCAATTTGAGAAATTCAAGTTCTATGTGGCTCTTCCTGAAAGAAAGGAGAAGTAGTTGGATAGCTGGAAATACAAAAGTGCTATTTTTCTCGTTCTGCAAAGGTGCGACGTGTCTTCAGAGCTGGAAAAAAGGCCGGGTGGTTGTCACTCTGTTTCTGGTACAAAACAGAGAAGGACCAGCCAAAAACAGTGGACACCATCACAAACCTCTCTTGTTTGTTTTTTTCCCAAAGTAGTACATTAAATTTATTAGGACATTGGTATGTACAAAGCACAACACATGAAAATATATCTTAAAATCATGGAATCTCGCACAATGTGTTCTCGTCTTTCGTCCAGCTTCAAAAGGGATGGGGTGGGGGCAGGAGGGGATGGGGTGGGCAACATGTCGCGGCGCAGCCACCCGTGGAAATATGTCAACTAATGTAACACGTTTATACAATGAGTGTACAAAAAAAAAGGGTGGATAAAAGAAAAAAAGTGAAAGAGCTCAGGAACTGGAGAGAAGGAGGGAACATCAACCCAAAAAACCAGACAGAGGTTGAACAACAAGGAGGAGGCCATTTTTGTGTCAGGGGGGGAGGGGGGGGGGGGCCGACAAAAAAAGAATAAAAATTGTTTCTTCTGTGGCGCCGTGTATTTCACTTCGTCTTACTTGCTCTTTCTCCATCTCTCCCTTCTTTTTAAGTAAACCAAATGAGAAATGGTCTTGACTCACGATAAAACAATGGAAATAAAAATGTACATTCTCTTTTTTCCCCCACCCCCATGTCATCTGATGTACAATAATGTCGTTAATATGTACAAAGTGTGGATGCGTGCGTGTGTGTATGTCGACAGAACGGCCGCGAGAATCACTGGGTTTCACGAACTGGTCGTGTGGCGCAAGCGCAACACGTACAATCGCCTTTTTTTCTTTCCTCTTCTCCGCGCGCAAAACAAACGACGTGCGTTACGAAAAAAAAAAAAAACAAGAACCCGTCTGCCATGCTAGGGATCTTGGGGAAAGGGTCTCCTCCCTCACGTCCAATTGTGCGGGGGACGTGCGACAATAAAGTGGGTGCGTGCGCACCCACATACACGAGCAAAAGGTTTCTCTGAGCTTATGTACAGGTTCTCTTCATCCTTTAGGTATCGTCGCCTATTATTTGCTTTACGCACTCTCTTCAATAAACTCTGCAACAAACCCATCCACAAACTCAACAACTTCATCGTCTTTTTTTTTTTTTTTAAACTTCCAGAAGCACTTTTTCGGCGGCACTTTTCATGCTTCACTTCTTCGCTGTTCCGTCGTCTCGAGAAGAAAAACCACGGATTGTATCCAGCAATCGGGGACGGCATGTAACGGTGTTTTTTTTTCAGCTTCAGATGACGAAAAACGTTCCCGTTGTTCGACGAGCCTCGGTCGATCGAAATGACGCTCTTTTGGTTGTTTTTCTAATCTCCAGTTTTCTTTCCTCTTTGATGACAGATGTTTCACTACCTATTCGGACATTTGGGGAACTCGAATGGCCGTGAACTGTTGGCGTCGCCATGCGATCGAGGCACGCCGAACGCAAGGAGCGGGCATCACAGAAGACAAAACGAAAGAAGAAGCAAACGGGCACCACACTTGATCACGGGGACATCATTTTTCTATGAGACTATGTCTGCGCTCCGCAACCGTCTCCCTTGACGCGCAAAAAGCGCAACCGCCGCGACACTTCCGCGTTGCTTTGTGATCCGCATCCTGTTTTCCTCGTCCCGTTCACACCCATCGCGTCGCCCCAGGCACTCTTGTGACAGTTGTCCATTTCCCCCGCCAGCCACAGCTTCCGGCACGAGCCCGACGTCTCGACCAATCGGAAACCGACCCCCCCCCCCCCCTCACAATTCACACTCCTGGTAAGTTTCGTCGGTTTCTCAGGTGCAAACGGAAATTTTGATGAGGTAGAAACGCGGACCCTTCCCGTCCAATTGAGGAGTTTACTCGATTCCCGGGACTCGCAACGGCTCTGCGGAAGTTGTGCTCCGCGACGGCGCTCTCGCGCGACACGGAAGCCGTGGCTGCCCAGCAGACCCCGCAAACCACGACCGTCAACCCCCAAAAAAAGCACCGCCAACGCGTCCGTGCCCGCGCAACGCTTCGTCCCCTCCAAACTCGGGTACATACGGCTGTTTACATCTGCGTATAACTTGTAAGATATCTTTTAATATAGCATCTCTTTCTCTCTCCTTCATCTCCGTAATAGCTCTATAATATCTATAATATGAACGTACGCGAAGCACACGTCGTTCCACGCCGGGCCACGTGTCACTCCTGTCCCCAGACACAAGCAGGGTACTCTGTCCCAGACACGGCACAGGTACATTCCGTCCGGCGCCTTGATCCCGACGGATCTGGCGTGGGGGGTGATCGCCGGATTCAATCCGGACTAAATAAATAGAGACGCGCGCACTGGGTCGTCGGCGCCATGCGGCGTTTCTTCTTCCACGGCAACGCCGGCGGCGTGGGCGGCAGTTGTGCGCGTCGTCTCTCGCAAGTCCTTCCGTCCTCATCACAGACACAACGAAGAGGGTCCCGGGGGTTGCCGGGAACCGCGCCGGGAACCGTGTCACGCCCCCGAACAGTCGATCTCGACGATGTCTTTGGGTACATCGACAAACTGGTAGACCAAGCGCTGTCCGTCCACCTTGGCGAGGATGCCGCGCTGGTAGTAGTACCTGCAGGAAACCAAAGGGCACGGTCGGGTCACGAGGAACACAGAACGACGCAGGAAGACGTAGGCGGAAACAAGTGGAAGGAATGCACAGACACGGGTCGGTTCAACTGTCGAAAAAGCCTCTTCCCCCGATCCCGCCCACTCTAGTCAATGTCGCATCAAGAAATGAAGCGAGGTTTGCGCATAGTCTGCATGTTGCATGAAGTAGTTCGTACGAGACACCGTTACGACACTTTTTTAAGTTGGGAATTGCGCGTTTTTATAAAGGTAACCTGTCTCAAATTCGCAAGCTGGTACTTTCATTAAAAATACGACCAAACATTGCGATACGACCCTTTCTCGAATCATTTATAAACAAAAAGGAGCCGAATTGTGATCTTCTTGTGTGTTCTTGAAGAAGTAAAAGGCTCTATAAAATTCTAAATTCAAGTTATCTATGGCACTTAGGGTGCGCAGATTGAGTCATTGCCACGAAAAGACAAACACAAGATCCACTTGGGTGCCCCTTAGACTTCCCAGGCGAGAACCTGCAGAGCAGCCTGTGGGCTGGGGGCCTCACCTGAGGGCCCTTCCCATGGTCTCGTAGTTCATGTCGGGCTTGTTCTTATGCAGGCCCCAGAGGCGGGAGACAGCCTTGGAGTCGACCAGCTTGAAGACACCCTTCTCTCGGTGCGTCCACTTGATGTAGCGGGGGCAGTAGTCTCGATCCTGCAGAAGCTTGAGCAGGAACTCCCACAAATAGGTCGTCGAGCCCTCGCGGCTCTTGCGCTGCTGCTTGAGGGATGCCGAGCCGCCCAGGCCGGGCCCCCCAGGGGGGCCCTCGCCCAGCAGGGCCTTGGGCTTGCGACCTGCGAACAAGACGCCTTTTGAGTCTGGGGCACAGGTAGGCTTTAAGACAAGCACCCTTTGAGTCCAGGTCGAAAGAAAACAAAATGGATGCGTCTTGAATCCGCGGCACAGGGAAACAAACCGGATTCCTCTTAAATCTAGAGAATGGGAAACAAGAAGTCCAGGGCACGGAAAACAAATTGGACAATTTCGAGTCAAGGGTATAAGAAACCAAATGGATGCCTTCTGAGTACGAGCCGTGGAAAACATAACATATGACAGAGTTCGGGACATAGGAAGACTACTTCGAATCAAGGGCGCGAAAAGTGGGACGAATGCCCTTTGAGTTTGGGGCATGGGGAACAAAATGTTTTTTGTGTGCCAGGCAACAACGAAAAAGTATGACCGCAACTGCGTTACAACTGCTAACAACGTGTTGCACAAACCTGGGTAGCCATAGCAACCATCCTGTCGTGAGCAGTGTTAGGCAGTAGTAACGCAATCAGTCTAAAAAGCTAATTTACACGCTTGGTTTTGGTTGCAAACGAGTGCCCAACAACCAATTTCAAGCCTCTCCAGCGGTAAGCAGATGCAAGTGCGTGAACCAGCATCTGCCCAAACGCCAGTGCCCGAACCGGCACCTACAGCCTCGCCAGAGAGCACCAACGTGGAACGATGCCCCGTGCCTCGCTCCGACAATCTTCCCAGCTCACCACCACTCACCACATTATGCCAAAGCCATGGTGCCTGGAACCAGTCTGCAACTGGCATGTCTAGTGTCCCATCTCTCCCATATGTCAAAAGTGGTCCCGAAGTGGCAACAAATGACGTCATAAAAGCCAGCGCGTCGCATCGTCGGATGTTGAGACCCTAGCAGTCGGAGCTGGGAGTCAAGGTAAGGGGTACGAGAGAACACGAGCGTCGCTGTTGTCGCGGAGCACGGACTTCTGGCTACCGAAGCTTCCACGGCCCGTCGGACAGCGACACGTGGCGAAACAGGCGTCTGCCACGTCCGCCATCGCCAACGGGACGCCGCTGGAATCGCGGCCGGCAACCTGACACTTCAACGGCGGCGTCGGGTGGGAAATTGAGGGACTACCTCTTAGAGTGTGGTGCACACACTCTACACACACACGAGTCGGAGAGGCGTTCCAGGCGCCCCAGCCGAAACGGCGCCCGCTTGAGCCAACGCACCTTTCTTCTTGATGGGAGGCTGAAAGGAGAGGTCCTCGACGAAGTAGCCCATGTCCTCCCCGTTTGCGTGCGCTGCCGCCGTGATCACCGACGTGGGGATGCCAGACGGGTGGAGCAGAGCGGCCCCTGCCACGCCGCCGCTCGGGTGGCGCTGCGTCAGGGCCAGGGGCAGCCCCGCCGGGGAGTGGCCGGACACCGGCACGGGGTAGGCCAGGTGCCCCACGGGGCTCTTGAGGGCGGGGGGCTCCAGGTAGGCTGCCCCGTGGGGCAGCAGTGGCCCTGTGCCCAGCGGCCCCGCCGGCCGGTAGTGCGCTTGCGGGGGGTACAGGTGCTGCAGCTCCGCATCTGGGGAAGGACAGGCAAAAAAGTTAAAACGGGTTTCGATTCCATTCGTTTCAGTAAGGAGATCTAGTAGGTTATTCCCATAGCGATAGACAATAACGATACGAGGCTCCATGTTAGTGGGAAGGCAACCGGACGAACCCTTAGCCAGTTAGGGACTATCTCGAGAAATGTGTCGCAGCCTTTTCCAAATCCTTTGTTACGTGGGACAAGTCAAATGTGTTTCTTTTTCTTCTTTTTACGTGGAATGTTAGGATATTCTTACACACACTGGTATGTTTCTCCTTTTTTTCACCATGGCACACTCAGATTTCATTAAAATTGGTCACAAAAAGTGCAATGCAAGTGTTATGCAAAACTGTAACGCAAAGTGTAGCATGCTATATTTCGTGGGAAATATTTCCTTGGTAAATGTAACAGCAAAACCTGAATTGGTGTAAAGTTATAGACCAATTCAAATTGTGTGCTAAGTTTGGTAGGAAACATTTTTCCCGCTAAATTCAGTTGAAAAATCTGGACTGAATTTTGGTAAAATTTTTTAGGAAAGCCTGATTTGTTCTATAACTAGACACTGATGCAATTTCTCACTAAATTTAGCGGTATTTCCAAAATGATGATTTCATGAGAAGAAGCCATCGGAACGCCACTAAGTCGCCTTTGAAACTTTCCTGGGATGTTACTAATCTGATATCAATTCGAAGTTGTGAGCAGTGTCTGTCTCTTCATGAAGTATGGTTGAAGGTGTTTTTCATTGTTCAAATTCCAGACCAGAGGCCCTGCACTCGTCACAAACAAGGTTTCAGCCAAAGTTTACGGAGCACGGCGCAATTGGAGTCTTGTGACGATGACGCCGTGCTTTTGTCGCCGAAGTCCAACCGATGTGCTCTGCAAACTTTCTGCTCTAACTTCATGCTTGACTAGTCTAAAGCCCCAAATAAGATATGTAGTGAGGGTACATTCTTCCAGCCAGTTCGTCCAACATTTCACCGAGTTGACCCAGGTCACAAAATAATGTTCCCTCTGCACTCAGCTGCAGCACAGAGGAACGGTTGAATGTTGCTCTTCCCTTGAGGTTGTCTTCATTACAGAATAATGATAAGAGATTGTCTTCTATTGCTGTCTCCACCATAGAAGAGAGAACAGGTTGTTTTCACCATAGAAGAGAGAGGACAGGTTGTCCCCCTATGGTTGTCTCACCGTAGAAAAGTGAGAAGAGGTTGTCTTCACCATAGAAGATAACGCCTACAGCGCAAAAAGCTGGGGTTCAGCGGCGTCCACCACTTTGTAAAAACAAATTCCTCCAAAAATACTGTAAAAGAAAAAAAAAAGTACCGAGCAAGTTTTCAAGGTGGAAACGCAGAACACAAGGAAAAGGTTAAACATCTCTAGCGGGTTCTTCCCCGAACGCGAAGGAGCGTGGGATGAAACGGCGAAAACAAAACAGAATACCCAAAAATATCAGTGAACAACAACGATACCAAGAATAATAATGGCAATAAACAAGCTAAGGGACGGAGAGGGGAGCCGCCCGCTACGGCGGCAAAAGCCCTCTACTTGTGACGTCGCGCACTGCGCGCTTTTCAAGAGCGGGTGGGTGGCGTTTCAAGAGCCTTTGCCCCTAACCTGCCAGCGCGGTGGGAGCTACGCGCTCGCCGCGGACCAATCAGCCGCCTGCCTTTCATCACCCGACTCCGCTTTTTCTGCGCGTGAGCATGGGAGGGAGGGGCGTGATCACGTGGCGATTGAAGGACCGGTCCAACCAGCACGCTAGGTCCCCACAGCACTGTCGGCTTAGGAATGAACGGGGTAGGGGGGCGAGGGGAACCGGCGCCGTTGCCATAGTAACCCCGTTCCGAATCGAGCGGGCCAGGGTTCAAAGCCCCTGACCGGTTGCCAGGCGACGCAGGGCCCAACGAGACACAGCGAGGTACCCTTGCCGAGCGCCTTCCCTCTCCGAGAGGGCAAGACCTTGAAAAGCCGGAGGGGGCACGTGCCGCCGCGCCGAATTGCTGGAAGCGGTCCGCTGGAATTCCCGTAATGTCCGAGGAGAGGGAAGTTGCCATTTGGTCCAGTAAACCCCCCACGCTCCGTCCGGTCGCCCGCTGCCTGAGCGCGGGCACTGAGCGCAGTCAACCACAAAACGCTGCGCTGCTGCTTTTTTTTTTTTTTTTTTTTATGTATGTGCATGTATTGGTGAGACGAGTCTTCGTTTCGAATAAAATTTAAGAAAAACCCACAAGTTATGACTCGTGAGTCATCAGATGAGGTGTTCTTCGCGATTTTAAGGGCGCATGACAGGACATTTGCTTTCAAGCAGATGGGCTGGGCATCGACTGCACAGTTGTTAAGAAAAGATTATCGTCTCCTCTATTGTTTTGTGTCTCCGTGTCTCGGGGTTTAGGTTATGAGAGTAACGAGAACTGGCTAAACTTACGCGGAAAGCTCCAGCGCTACATTTTGAGGGAAAATAGCATACGTCGCCCTACGAACTGGGCTGTGGAAGGCGCTCGCTAAGCATGTGCGGTAGCTCTCTCCTTGCCGCGCATGCGTACAGAGCCCAGCGAATCGGTATTATTCTCATAGGAGGTAGCCGCTGGCGTGCGACAGTTGCTCGGTCCCCACTGCGACTCCATGGGTACGATGAAGGTGTTTCTCTACTAGGCTAAAAACCTATCTGCCCAAACCCCGCACACCACCACATGTACCCCTTCGAGTATGAGCAAATAAAAATGACTATTCTTACTATTATTATTAAAAATAATGTGTGTGCGTGAGTGGGGGGAGATGGTTGGCAGTCACTTGACGCTTGCGTTCCACTCCCTAAAAAAAGTGTACAGAAAAAGAAAAAAAAAAGCAAATCCTGCTTTTCACGATTTTGTCTCGTCGCGACTTCTCGTCCGCTTTCTTCGTTTGCCATTTGATTTCGTTACGTGGATCGGGTGGGAAGTATTTTGGCGGTGAAATAGGCAATTTTATTTATTTCGCGACACGGAGCAGACTCGTGCCATTACGGCGACGAAACAGCTGGAGTGTAGAGTTTCTGTCCGCGCTAAGAAATGAATCACCGTCAGTCACCTGGCTACGCTGTCATCCGGAAAAAAAAAAAAAAAAAAAAAAAAGAAAGGTATAGCAGATTGAAAGCCAGGCACGAGACATCATCAACAAGGTGATATATTCCCATATTGGGGCAATCAACGCTTGCCTTGATACTAATTGTTCGGTACGCAATGTAGGGCACAAACATCCGATTCCTCGAGCTGCCCGGTTGACACGATCACTTTATTTATTTATTTTGCATACCCACGTGACTTCAGACGTTCAAGAGAGCGGTTACAATAAATAAATAGAAAAAAAAAAAAAAGAACGGTAGTTTTTATCGCCGTTTTTCAATATAACGACGCGTCGCTTACAGCGAACCCAAAGTGTTGAATGTAAAAAAAGGCAATAGGGTGTCATTTACAGCGTCTCGTTTACTGTATATAACAGTGTATACAGTACGCCGTTCACCAACGTAATTAAAGCGACGCATCCCCTTGTTGGCCGCGATGCGACGCAGCAGCAGACGACAGTAGCAGACGCCGCCGCGCAATATCGCGAGCAGACGACGACCAGCGTAGCAGACGGCCGCGGCGGAGAGCAGTTGGGGCGGCGTCCGAGGGGCGGCGCTGGCTGTCCCGCGAGCGGACCCCAGCCGTAACCTTGAAAGGTGTGTTGACTCCGGCAGTGCAGGTGTAGAGGGGGAAGAGCGCCACTGACGTCAGCCGCCGTTCACCGGAAGAGCTCGACACAATGGCAGACGCCCGTCGTCTGCTGCCGCTGTTTCTGCCTGCTTTGCTCGCTGCTGCTGCTACCGCTCGCTCCATCTCCTCGCGCTCGCCCACGGCGCGCGCTTCTTCTGCTTCGTTTGTGTGTCCACTTGCTTTGCTTTATTTCCGTTCTGGCCGTTTATTATTTTCAGATGGGCCGCAGAGCATCGTGTTTCCAGGAGTACACTCGACCAAACGACGCCGCTGTTTTGGTTTCGCGGAGCGATGCAGGGATCGGGTGGACGACTCGGTGGGAGAAATAGACACAAACAACGAAAACAAGCGTTGTTTACGCTTTGAGCCTCTGCAATCTCTTCCACAAACTGGCTTTATACCGCAGTGATTTCGTCGTCTGTTCGACGCCGCAACATTTGTTAATGTTTAGATTGTTTTTTTTTTTTTTTTGTATTCAAGGATCTGTCATTAAAGCTGCTATAGCGGTGGAAAGTGCTCAATTTGGGGTAATAACCTAAGAGTTAGATTTCGATGTCCCCCAGTACACTTTCTAAGTAAAATACGACCAAGCACCGAAGTCGTGTTCGCGCTAACAGTGTCCAACATAGTTCACGTATACAATATCCGCGTCCCTGCCCCGTTTCCATCTGGATGAGCAAATGTACCCGTGCGTGTTCGTGTAATTACTACTACATGCACGTTGAAGGCCTCCATCCAGACTAGCACCAGGCGTATCCAGGCGTACTGCGCGGGCTGAAGGTCTCATCTACGACCCCAACCATTTGACGGCTGATTTTCAAGTCTGTACAGCCCATTCTTCCCGCTTTGTACCGGTGTCCATGATCAACTACAGTCACAATCCTGTTACCCGAAATAAACTTCCCCGGAAGCTTTGGTACCGTTTCTTACTGGAATGCTGGAGTGGCTTCGTGTTCTACAGCCGGATTTCGGACCAAACTGCGCGCCAATCAAACTCCGTGTTTTGTTGTTGTTGTATTTTTTCCTCCGAATGTACGGATTTTCTTCCGCGAACACCTCCGGGCGATCGGCAGCTAGCTGGCTGAGTTCAGCGCTATCTTTCGCATCCGCGCAAGGAACGGAGGCGGCCCTAACAAGTTGGCGCGCGTGAGGCCTAACTAAACCGTTTCGTCGCCCCAAGCTCGCGTCCACTTGTTTTTAGCCGCTCCGTCACCTCGCTGGAGTTCCGAGAAAATGCCCGCCACACTTGCCCGCAGGGGCTCG